CACACACACACACACACACACACACACACACACACACACACACGAGATTCTCCAGAGTATTCACCACAAGCCAGAGAGTGCCTTGATGAAGTTTACCACGCAGCAGATGCAAAACTAAAACAAAAGCATACAAATATCTCAGGATGTCAAGAAGACAAACATAAATAATTGTGAGTTTTTGTGAGTTCATGTCTGACAACAGCTTGACTATAAAAAAAGAAAATGTGATTTGGTCGCACTTTAGTTTCCTGCAAAATGGATTTGCTGTTGCTGTATAGTTTTGTATAGAAACTTTAATTTTACAGGAGACAGCGTTGACTGAACATATACGTTGAAGTGCTTGAAGCCACTGTTGCAGAATCATCGTTCAACATTTCCTTTTTTTGATTTTCAAAACTGAAACTACACTCTACACCCAGAGAAACAGTTTGTGGTCTAGCAGGAAAATGTGAACATGGGGCACAAGCATCTGCACAATTCTAAATAAGACTAAACACCTCCTGTAACCACAAACCACTCACACACATAGACTAACAGATATTGCGATAAGGAAGTGAGCCCCACCCCGGGCCCTTTAAAGATGATGCAGATGCTGTGGTGCATGTGTTTGTGTTTTCAAGTGCTGCAGGATATTTCAGTCAACTGAGAATTTCGTATATGTTTTCTCCCAAATTAACTGGAAGTGGCTGTCGTGAGTTTTACCGTAAGTCACGTGTCATATATGCGAACACACCACAGCTGCATGTGACAGGGCAGCAGGTCGATGACAGCAGCATCAACTTTTATAATCATACTTAGTGCCATCGTTTAAGTCTGCAAACCACAATTAGATGAGAAACATGACCACACAAAGATATTAACTATTTGTACAAGCATCAGACTTTTCAGCAGTTTTTCCTTCTATTACTTGCATGAGACAACAGCTCACAAAAAGAAGGAGAGGGACAGAAAATAATCATGAGAGTGCTTACCTTGTAAACTTGACCGTAGGTTCCATTGCCGACAACTTCCACCAACTCAAAGATACCTGCTGGATCCTGGAGGGGGACAAAAAACATGTTAACTCAAAGTTTACTTCAAGTTGTCGACTCGCTTTCTTATCATCAGAGGCCAGGTGAAGCTATTTTGATCGAGGTTTAGCAATTTAGCCATACAAGCCTGTCATATTTGTGTAAAATCAGCCGACATGGTTCTTTGGCCTCTCAAGTAAAGCTTCGTGCAAGGGGAGGCTCAGACCCTCTGTACTTACGACTGTGAATTACACAATCTACCTGTAGGGGGAGCCCGAGTACAGGCGAGAGCAAATCTTGCATTTTAACGTGGTGTTCACACCAAACGCAAAGCATTTTTGCGTGACATTACTAGTTTGGCCGTAGGATGATTTGTGTAAACTTGCACTAATCCCTTGAGCAATGTGAGGCTGACCAGTGGCCAGTGTGATGACCTGCTAGCTTGGGTCGGTGAGTTCCATTCTCAATCTGATCGGCTTTTGCAACATTTCATCACCAAAATGTTTTGCGTCGCGTCTTTGCATTGACTTTTTATGTAGTCTCATGATGCAAAACATTTGCTCTGTGTTTGGTGTGAAAGTCCCATAACTGCCGGTCACACGTACACAAATGTTTCAGCGTTGAACCTTCCCCTCACTTCACCTTCACTTCCAATCTGCGCAAGTGAAACATTTGCTTCCTGTGACGAGGCAAAAAGCAGCATGGCTTTGTCTGAAGTTCCACTTTGGTGAACTTTTACCCACGATTTGCATATGTGTGCCCAGGCCCTAAGCTGATTCAGCCTGAGAAAACAAATGTGAGGGTACACCAGTATAGAAAAGAGCATCACATTCATTCCAAGAGAAAACATAACAAGTTTTAGTTTATATGCTCAGTACTGAGGGCAAATGAAGAACAATGCAGTGTTCCAGTATAGGATGTGGACCAAGGAAGTGGAACTACCAATGTGGATAACATTGTGGGCTACGAGAAATTGAAATATGGTTTAGAGAATCATTGGAAACGTCCTTAATGTGCAATTTTAAAGCAAAGAGATATTTGCACAATGAGAAGGGTTACACGACATATGGTCACATAGACCCACATGATAGGGCTTTAACAGAATGAGCAATGAAAACAAGATTAACACAATTACATCATTCTTTTAAACTAGCAAAGTGTAATAATTCTGTGTATCTGGGTAAAACCAGTAACTTGAAGTGATTTCTTCTTGGTTTGTCTCACATTAAACACACACAGGTAGAGTGGTTCAGCTTTTCCTCATGTTCGACCACTTGTTGCACGGTTGCATGTGAACTTCTCGACCCAGTGAGCCAAAAGGAAAATCCCGAGTGTAAACAGTGCAGCTTGTAAACTTCACAACAAACAGGACACGGTGCAGACAGACAGCAACACGTCACGGGACGACATAAACACGTCCCTCACTAACTGTTACAACACGCAAAGTGCGTAAAGTTTCTCAAAGGCGACGTGAAGTGAGTAGAGAGCAAAAGCAGAGGGGCCAGCGGCTTGCACCGTGAGGTTCGAGCCCCTCCACATCCTGCAGTGTTTACTCCGGGCTTTCTTAAAGAAAGGACAGTGTGTGTGCTTACTCGTAAAGCTGCCAGGTCTATACTGTCCAGACTCCGGGTGGTGTTCTCCCTCGACATCGCTGCCAGTGACCGTGTCAGCGTGTGGAGGTTTGCGCTGCAGACATGGACGCTCACACTTTCTTCTGAACTTAGTGACGAGCGGCGTGTCCTCCCGTCCCGTCCATTCCGACGATCCGCTAACAGCGTCAAGGTGGGCGGCGCTAACGCACACTACTTCCGCAAAGCCCTTTCAAGATAAATCGTGGATTCAGAGGCCGGTGGGGGATCCTCAGCTGAAATCCGATCGGGTGCCCCTGTCCTGTCAGTAGTGGGTTTTTTTTTTTTTAAATAAAGTGGTCTAAGAATACAATCAATAAGTATGATAATTTGTTCAGAATTTTAAATGTCTAAGCTTTTTTGATGTGCTTGGACAACAATTTTCACAATATATTCCATAATGTGTGGCTTTGCTCAAAACAACTTAAATGTGCACGTCACTGAATTAGGAATTGTCCATAGATGTTGGACATACTGTATAATCAGCCCCTCTGTGTTGATTGTGGCCCCTTAATTGCCCTCGATTCGGAAAAATCCTAGATCACTGCATCACGCCCACAACGATTACATTTGCGGCTTTTGTTATATATCGTTAAAGAGAAGAGATGAAGCAGCAACTATCAGTGATACATTATGAACTTATAAAGAATTGAAGTTCCCATGTGCACAGTGGTTTGTGAGATCCATGCTCAGGATGTTTACATTTTCTGTCTCAGGCCTAAGGCTGAATTTTACTTCTCAGCTTTTATTTTGAAATGACCGTCTCCGTGTTTTGGGTTGCATGGACTCAGCTTCACTCGACATCTCTGGGCTTTGCTCCTGAGAAGTGACTTTTCTGAAAACTGACATCGAGTAAACTCCCGGAAAAAAGCGAGGGGACGAGGAGGCCGTGCTTTGCCAACAGCCTGTTTCAACAGCGCGTCCTCACCGACAGCTGACTGGAAGTGATCAAATGTCGGAGGCTGCACAACAGTCCGTCCACGTGTATCCGCGTGTCCGTGCGCGTGTTTTTGTGATGAGAGGAAGAAGGGGAAAAAAAGAGTACTGTTAAAAACAGTCATTGTTTATTTTACAGATTTTTTTTTAAATTATAAATGAGGATCAACAGCAAAATGATTGTTTTGTAAACTGACCAAGGATTTTTCTGAATCAAGGGCCATAAAGGGGCCACAATTCACATGGGGGGGCAATTATATGTTCAACCTCCATGTGCGATTCCTGATTCACATTGCATCACTTTGTTTACCGTTAGCTCTGTAGCTTTAACAAAGACACACATCATCGCATATATTTAGAAAGATGTTCCTTGTTCCAGCACATTGTGTACTTCAAAAAAGCTTAGAAAAATAAAATTGTCAACAAATTGTGTGTGTGTTGCTAGTATTGTTAGGAGGTGTACGTTTTCTTTCTTTTTTTTTAAACTACTGACTAGACAGGGGCCTTTTAATGGCCAATCAGAGCTGGAGAGTGTCCTCCTGGTCCCACCCCTGGATCCGCCCCTGGTTGCACACTTACACAAACTGAGGAATTTAAAGTGTGACAACACTGAACATTCCCCTGACGTTCAGTTCAGCCTCATCCATTTCTGGGCTGGGTTTCTTTCCTGCTCCTTAATGTTGCAAACCATATTACAACAGTTTAGATCTTTAGCAGTTCGGTCATCTGTTATTTGACCTTATCCTTGAACCTTCACAACATAAAAATAAATGCCAACAAGCATGACCCATTGAAGGCCGCAGTTTAAGCTACACTTTTCCACAGCAGAAACTTTCACATGTGATGGCAAGAAAAACACTCACTCACACAAATTGTGACACTACTCCAGTTCTGGATTAGAGAAGATTTAGAGAAAAAAAATCAAAATGCAATGTTTTAAGAATGATTTTTTTTTTCTGTTAATATAACTAAAGGTCCAGTGTGTAAGATTTAGGTGAAAGGGAACTATTGTATGAATTGTAGTTTTCTATACCCCAGAAAAGGCTGTTTATATTTAAATACTTTATATTAACATCAAGGGGACCCTCTCTATGGAGGCCGCCATGTTTTTTACATTAGTCCAGACTGGACAAACTAAACACCTCACCTTTTTATGACAACTGAAGCTACCACAGGTTCTTTTTCATGTTTGGAAGGAGAGGGTGACGGTGAGGTGAGGGGTGTTCAGCTGCAACATGATTTCAATACTAGATATCACAAAATTCTACACACTGTACCTTTAACATCTGTTTTCTGCCATGTTTCTGTACTGCTCTTGTGAGGATTTGTTCAACTGAGGAAATGAGGCCTGTCCGTGGTGAAATAAAGATGCTGATACTACTTTCAAGTCAACCATCAATGTAATTTTGTATGAGTGCTACATTGACGTGCTAATTCCATCCACCAATCCATTCATTATTTAGACAGCTTATTATTTGAGACAGTACCCCTACAAAAATGTGTATTACAATATTGATATGTGCTCATTGTTTAAGTAAAAATGATATCTCACTCATGTGTCAGTGTAAATTATGTAGAGGTTAAACAGTCCAGTAAAAGCTTTATGTGTATAAAAACTGAATCTGTTCTGTTTTCAAAGTTAATATATATACATGTCGCTCCCTCAGTTATTAATTCCACAGTGTTTATTTACTTTATCCATGTCATTATGCATTCAAGTGTAAAATGTATTGGGAAGATGGAGCTTGACATTCCAGTCCCCTAAGTGAGCCAGTGAGTCACAGTCAGCATGATGAAATAAGGGTCATTATGTGGTGGGACACAGAGTGTGTGTGTGTGTGTGTGTGTGTGTGTGTGTGTGTGTGTGTATGTGTTGGGCAGTAACAGAAAGATTAGTGTGAAGAAGGAGAATAAGAGAAAGATGGCGAGTGACTCTGTTGCTCCCTGAATGTTTGTTTGTGTGTGTAAGTGAAAATGTGACAAATTAAAGAGTAAGATGAGGAGGTAAGGCAATGTGTGTGTGTGTGTGTGTGTGTGTGTTTGTGTGTGTGTGTGCGTGCACATATGTGCGTGCTGCAGTGAAGAATGGTCTCTCTGTGGTCTCAAACAGTGGCCCTGTTCACACTAGGGTCAGCTGCCTGTACACACACACACACACACACACACAGAGAGAGAGAGAGAGAGAGAGAGACTCATATCCAACCTAAACAAGACAACATTCTGTGAAACAACTGAAAAAGAAAATTCCACAGTGACAGATGTCGTTTGTCTGTCTCTCTATCGTTTCTTATTTTCCTTGTGTGTGTGTTTGGGACATAAAAAGTATTCAGTGTCAAGAGGAAGTTGGCATACTACTTATCTAGACCATTTCCCGAGAGCACTTACATACAAGCATGCACATACATGTATACATTGGTGATAGAATCTGCATCGCTGTCCCTCAGAAAAAAGAGAAGGTAAAGGGGAGCTCTTATTTCACCAGGCACATAAAAGCGTAGAGCTTTTAAACTTTTTTTTTGCTACTTATAGAAAAGCTCATATACAAGAAAAAATAAGTCATAGAAGATGGTCAGAGGATCAATTCCCATCATATTTCAGAATGTCAGCGAAGTTTGTTAAAACCTTCATATAGTGACTTGGTAAAAATGTTGAGCCACCATGAGTCTGAAGCTGACGCACTGACATACAGCAACTGTATATTCTGTGGTCTAAAATCTTTAAAAAGATTTTTGCACTTTTTAAGGCTACAGCCCATTTTTGCAGTGTTTAAAAAACTCTAGGTATTGTCACTCTGAACAAGATCTCCCTCAATTCTACACAATTTGCAGCTGTAAAGTCCGAGACATTAGTAATCTAAAGCACAACAACACATGTTGACATGTTGACAGAGGAGTTTAAGCTGCGGATCATCAGACACACTGACACCAGGTAGAGGGAATGCCCCTGCTTGTCGTTTGACTCTTACTGAACTTGTGATGAATGATGCATGCGTCAGAGTCTGGGGGCTGATTCTGGGCCAAACTATAAAGTGACAGCGAGGATGAGGTTGGGCAGGTTTGAGTTACATTGTCTGGCGTCCTGACAAAGAGATTTGCGGAGATCCAGAAAACTTCAAGAGGAATTTCATTATTCAAAAAACTAAACAAAAAAAAGACCAACTTATTTTAATGTGTACGATTTAGAAACAAAAGGATGACAGCGATGAACAAAACGCGGTCAACAAAAAAAGTGTCAACCCACTCAACCCTCTTTAAACACAACACACACAGGTGAGCTGGTGAATATGTTAACTCTGAGTTATCAGTACCCATATTCATGTTATCCAATGCTACAAATCACTGTGATCGCAATAACAATTTATATTAAAAAAAACATATTGACTCAGCAAGCAAGAAGATTCCAAGTTTGAATCCCTGTTCGGCTGTGGTCTTTCTATGTGGAGTTTGCATATTCTCTTTGTGTCTGTGTGAGTTTTCTCGAGGAACTCCAGCTTCCTCTCACAGTTTAAACACCTGCATATTGGGGATTAGGTTGACTGGAGACTCTAAATTGGCCTAGGGTGTGAATGTGTGTGCGAATGGTTGTTTGGCTCTATGTTGGCCCTGCGATACACCGGAGACCTGTCCAGGGTGTACCTCGCCTCTCGCCCGATGTCTGGGATTGGCTCCCCACGACCCTCAAAAGATAATAATATTACTACAAAAATGTATTTCTACTACAATCATGGCTTCTATGAGTGCTGCTGACTAAGGCAGGATCTGTGAAAAGAGAGTAAGAGTTTGTGTAAGACGTTAAAGAGGCCATAGCGGTAGAGTAAGAAAAAGACCATGTTGCTGCAATCACCGCTGATGCAGACTGGATCAGCGACAGCTTAAACTTAAACCCGTCAATGCAGTTGGCTGCTGGAAGAGCATATCCTCACACTGGATGTGACATTTCTTTTTATCCATCTAAGGATGTTTGGTCCCTCTAAATATAAAAATACATGAATAAACACACATACACATGAGTTTTGCTGTGAGGAAAAGTTTCTGCAGGGGCAAACTGAAGTGATTCTACCAGGCTGGCTGAGCACATCTCTTTATCTGTCTCTGTGTCCCTCAGTGTCTCCTTATCTGCCTTTTTCTCATGGAAGAACCTCAGAAGGGTTCTCAAACTTTCATAGATAAAAAATGCACTGAGATTTAAGAAGAAAAAAGCTATTGAATGGGTTTTTGTTGGACACTAAGTGTAGAGTTATAAATGTCCATCATGTCCATATGAAAAGTTAACAAAATGGAATCCACACCCACTCATTTCCTACCACACCACAGTCCCTGTCCCTTCCTATTCGCTTATTTGCCTGCTTACCACACGGGAGCGCTGTTGCTTATGTTTGCATGTTACTTAGATGAGGAGAGAGAGAACCACCACATGTGACCCTTTTAGAATCTCGATGAAGGCAGTCATATCAGGAAGTGGCTTTTATAGATGCACAAGTCTGGGTTTGAAGAAGAAGAACGAATGTATGAGATATAAATAAAAAAACAACAGATTCTTCCAATAAATCTGCTGCATCAGCATCAAATTTAACATAATTAAAATGTGTTACTTTCACCTAAAGATGGCTCCTTGCACAACTCTTTTATATACATAGGGTAGAATACATAACCTTGAGCAGCAAAAACATACTTTGGGAGGAAGATAACACAATCAGGACGATAATAAGCAGAGAACACACACACACACACACTCATATCCAACCTAAACAAGACAACATTCTGTGAAACAACTGAAAAAGAAAATTCCACAGTGACAGATGCCATTTGTCTGTCTCTCTATCGTTTCTTATTTTCCTTGAGTGTGTGTGTTTGAGACATACAAACTATTCAGTGTCAACAGGAAGTTGGCATATCATTTATCTAAACCATTTCCTGAGAGCACTTACATACACGTATACATTGGTGATAGAAACTGCCTCGCTGTCCCTCAGAAAAAAGAGAAGGTAAAGGGCAGCTCTTATTTCACCAGGCACATAAAAGCATTTTTAAACTGAATCTAAAGCACAACAACACATGTTGACATGTTGACACAAAGTGGAGTTCCAATAAATCTGCTGCATCAGCATTAAATTTAACACGATTAAAATTCGTTAATGTCACCTAAAGATGGCTCCTTGCACAACTCTTTTATCTACATAGGGTAGAATATATAACCTTGAGCAGCAAAAACATACTGAGAGGAAGATAACACAATCAGGACGATAATAAGCAGAGAAGCATGAGAGTGAAAAGACTTGAGCATGAACTTTACTCATAAGTACTGCTTAAACTCTTTGTCAAACTCAGGACCAACATGAAATGAATATGACCTTCAGTCACTTCAAACAGCTTCACCCAAGGTTGTCTTGTCTTGCTCATAGTAAAAGTATTGAGCGGCTTATTAAAACTACAAAATGTAACCGCATTTCTAATATTCTTCTGTTGGAACAAGCTATAAAACATCTCTTCATGTGTAAAGGTGCTGTTCAAGGCTTTTGTGACCCCAATCATTATAAACTGTTTCTAAATGTGAGAATGCAGAATATGAAGGCGAGGGACAGGTTGAGCAGGTTTTGGGTCTCCGCAGGTTAACAGAGCAAAAGGAAACTAGTCAGAACTAATTGATGATGAACACTTGATCCACCCTGACTTTAAACCAGCTAGGCAGCAACCAGCCATTCGAAAATACACAATGAAGCAGTGCTTTCCTCTGTTATTCAAGATGTCTGGAGTGAAGAGACATAATCAAAAAGCAAGAAAACAGAAAAACTCAGATTAATGAGTGGCTACCATCTTTTTCTTTTCCTATCTTCTGTTGACTGGATCTCTATGTGGACCCTGCAGGCACAAGTTAACACCAGGTTTAGATTTTATCAGGTTACAATCTGGATATGAGACACACAGATTAGCAACCAGTTACTTACGGCATTTACACAGATGATACGGGAAACAAGAGCATTTATTTGTAGTCATGTTTCTGATGACCCTGTTAAGTCGAATATTCACTATATACATTTACAGCTGATCTTCTGGTCTCCTCTTTAATTGCAACATGTTATTTTAGCTAGATGTTCACAGCGTCCTTCTGCCATTTGGGGTGGGGCAGTTGCATGAACCCAGTTTGTACTTTTTAGCTTTTCACCATTGCAGCTGCCTGTTGTGTCTTGAAATCAGAGACTGAATGAATGTTATTGACCATAAAAAAAATTGTCAAAAGATGTTTTAGAGCTGAGTCAGTTAATGCAGTTGATACAGTTTATAAAGATCATTGTTGACAATAGGTGAAAACTTTGATGTTAAATATAGTTTTTTGATAAATGATTAACAATATTATATAACAGTTTTAAACAACAATCCACATTCAACTTTCATAGAGATAATTCACAGAGAAATAACAATAATTACATATAACATTATATCAAATTACAGATAAAATACAAAATATARTGCCAATACATCAAAAAGTTGAGACATTTTAGTCTGGACTAAAGTATTGGACACACTGACACTGTCATCCCTACACAATACCCAAGCAGATAAAAACAAGGACTGTGACTCCAAAGACAATCTTTTAACTAACATATGAACCTAATTGGATTCAGCAGTATCTTCTTCTTCACTGTTCCCAGAGCAGAGTACAAGTGGGGCACTATCAGAGGTAACACAAAGCCCGTCATGGTCACACATCATGCTCCAAGATGACATTCACTTTATCATCACTGCAGGCAAAGTCTCTGACAATGTGGCCTTGCCTAATTGCAATGACTCCTTAGCTTGATTATTAAAACCAACAGTTCAGTCAGTGCACTTTTCTGAAAACAATGTGGTCTAATACAATAGCAGTGCAATAGATCCTGCTGTGATGCAATGTCAAATTTGCATAGGTCTAACCATTTTTATCTGTTAGGGAATAGACTAAATGTTAGAGATATCCCTCTGTTACTTACAATACTAATATTATTGTACTATCAAATCCTCCAAATAACTAAAACCGATTTAACCAATCTCAAATTATTTTGGAATGTCTTCAATGTAGCTGTGTATCCAGGACGACGGCATAAAAGTATCCAAAAGGAATAAACTGTACTTAATAAGGTAACATTTATTATATATAATAAATATATATATATATATATATACATAGATATAGATATACCTCTTTAGGAGCTGCCATTGTTAAGGAACAGTCTCACATGGTCACATATATGAAGCCTGTGGCTGTCAGTAGTTTTTGTAAAATCTCTATTAGATTAATATTAAGATTCCTCTTTATGGTCCCACACACAGCATGCAACATGCAAACATGAGGAAATTTGACCTCTGTATTTAACCCATCTGCGTGAACGGAGCACACACGGAACACACGGAACACAATCCACACAGTGACCACACACGGAACAGTGGGCAGCCATGAAGGTGCCCGGGGAGCAATTGGGGGGTTCGGTGCCTCGCTCAAGGGCACCTCTGCAGTGCCCAGGAGGTGAACTAATAGGACACTAACTGATCAAAAACACTGTGGTTTGGCCATGAGTGAAAAATTCATGGAGCCTTACAAGATTAATCTGATCAATAACAGTAAATGAAGATGGGCTACGCTTCTCCACATCCTCCCACTGTACATCTTGTGCTGGTTGCCATGACATGGATCCAGAGTCAGTGGAGCACTGATCAAAGAATGGAGCAGTAGCATCATAGTACAGCTGTTACACCCTCCTCAGTCAATCACATGTGTCAGTCACTGATCATTCACCCAATATTTCTATCATCAGTTATTAATAAAAAAAAAAAAACTATGGAGAAATAGGAGCAAAAATGAATTTGGCATGTACGCTGACTTATTGTTTTCGCTCATTGAGCAGAGGTGTTAGTTAACTTTACTACGGCCAGCCACCAGGGGGTGAGCAAGATGGTTTTGCCTCAGTTTTGGCGGGTATCATGTAGTCCATCTTATTGACAGTGGGCTTTACTGGGCTGTACTTTAACAATCTAAGAATATCACCAAAAGAACATCAAATTTAACTTTTACATTTAAATCGGAAAATAGGTTGCTGCACCACATGCTTGGTTCAAAAGGTTGTACTTCATTTATCTTAGGTGTGTTTAAGGCATCGCATGTAACAAAAACCAACCAGATTGCCGTCTCTCATTCCCTTTACTAAAGCCCTTGCACCCTGGCAGATTGTATTTATAAGGGATTAGAGAGTATGAGAGAGAATGTCTCTGCTGAGCAAACACTCTCACTCAAGTCTGTTTGTGTATGCTTGTTATGCACCAGCATCTGTAGGTATATATTACTATCTCAATAATGCACCCTGAAAATAAGTGAAGAATATTGCACCACTGACTTCAGACCAGGTGTTTGTTTCACAATTGTTTTCCATTTTCTCTAGATAGCAATGCAGCAACAATGTGCCTGACCACACCTCATTTATAAACCAGCACGCCCAAAGGCGCTCAAATTGGTGAAAGTGCATTTGCTATTGAAACAACACTGGTAATAGATGGAAAATTGACATCGGTCTGAGACCTGACATTTCCTACAGGGTGTAAGATATAATCCCCTGAGTCTGACTCACCAAATATAGACTGTAAGCATGAGTCTGCCACTGGGCCACTGACTATATCACACAGCATTCTCTTCCCCTTCTTCCCTCTAAATTCAGATTAGTTAAAAGTTTAAAACTGTTCTCCATTATCAAATATCACAGTCACAATTTCAATATCTTCAAAAACACGAGTGCAGTCAGTCTTGGTATCAAAAGTTGATTCCAAAAACACCATCAAGGCAGTAACTTGAGATTAAAAAAAGAATAACTGCAGCCCCGTGCAGCAGTGTACTGCACTTACAGAGTGCAGCTTTGATAGATTTTAGTCCTGCACAAGCAGAATGGTTTAACAGCCATTTTGTACTTGAGTCTGATATATTCCCCAAACATCCCACAGGTGGTCAGAGTCCTGTAGTAATGTTGTAATGACAGAGCTCCAGTAACAGTTGCCTGCAATATAAGGTTTTCTTAACCTGAACAAACCACTATGAGGAGGATCTGTCAGTGTGATCCCCAGATGTCTCATGCACAGTCCAACATACACGTCTTCAATGTAAATAGCTCTAATGTGCAATGATGCTTCCAGTATCTTAATGGGTAGATCCATTGAGAACACATAGCCCAGTCCCAGGGCATACGGTGGGTACGTTGACTCAGGGAAGGCAGACATAGGCATAAACCACTTTGAATTATGGTCTCGAAGAACAGCAGAGCCCCTCGCCATGCATCCTGTCATGTAGAGATGTCGGGGGGCCGTCATAAGCATGTTGACAAGGTTGTGGACATTAAGGAACATGTCTGAGTCGACCTTCATGGCGTAGGAGGTGTTGGGGCAATGGGAGCTGAGCCATTCAAACATGACCATGGTTTTAATGGTGAGGTTATTGTAGCTGTCAATGAAGTCACTCTGGAGGATGTCATGATGTTGCTGGCTTTCCTGTAACAACTAAAGAAAGAGAGATAGGAGACGTTTAAATTAGTGATATGAATATGTTTTTTGTTAACAATTGAGTTTCTAGTCAACTCTTCTTAGGGTCTGGCCTTTGGGTCTCCTTGGGGGGGGCTTGTATGTGAGGATGCAAATCAGCAGGAAAATGTTCACAACGAACAAGTGACGAACACAAAACTGAAAGAACACACATTTTCATGGAGAAGACAGAGAGGAACATGTCTGCCTGGAAAGACCGAGATTTGCGGGCTTTTAGTGGTCGGGCTGGTATTGATGTACACATGATTTCCAGAATATGTCATGTGCTGCCTCCTGCATGCTCTACACAAACTCCTCCTCTCAATGATCCTGTTCCTGACTGAAAAAAGCTTAGGAGAGTACCCCCTCCTCTCGAAAAAGAAGATACTTCGAATTGGTCTGCAGTGTATAAATCTGAAAATACCACAAACATTTTAGTGTTTAGTTTAAACCTGACCGTGCTGTGAGGGTCTGGTGTTGTGTGCTATAAAACCTGTAGCTGTGTTCACTGTGGTGATACATTTTGTAACTGACTGGAACTTACGGGGATTTTCTCAGAAGTTGACACAATTATAAAATAAAGATTTTATCAGTGCAGCTTGTTTACAATTAGTGTTTATGGGCTTCAATCACCTATGAAATCACTTTTTCATAGTTGTTCAGTTATCTGACAAGAAACCAAATCAATATGTAAATAAGAAGCACAATATTGTGAGCAAGGCACTGAATGGAGGGGATACAGGCTGTTACTCAGCTGTGTGGCAGGTTTGTTTGCCAAGTGAAAAAAGGTTGAAGAAGAAGAACAGATTTTAGTCATTTTCATGTTGTTCAGGTGATTCACTGCTGACAGAGGTAGCTTTAAAAACAAACTGGAAAATGGCAAATGTGGAAACAAAGTCTTTTAAAAGCTAATGTGGTTGAATGTAGAGTCATCCTGAGGGGATGTCTCTGTAGTGCATGTTGTTTGTCTGCAGCTGTAACATAGCATCTCAACCTTTCTCTGCTCTGATTACCCTGTGAGGGTTATACCATCAGAAGCAGCTGCTGTTGCTCAATCCGTTTTTTGTCCTCTGCAAACAGCAGGAACACAACTGCACTTTGATTTCCCCCCAATTAACCTTTGGAACATTTTTTCTTCTCTTTAGTTATGAGTCATGTTTCTCTGATGGTCAAAATGTATTCTGAAAAAATAATTCAGATTTCATAATGTATGCACTCACTTTCTCCTTAAGGACCTTGGAGCCCTCTCCGGACAGTCCCAGCAGGAAGTAGTAGCTGACCACGCGGCCCTGCCATGTAGTCTCTTTGGCCCATGTGTTGCGGATGATGTCACGGGCCTCTCTGTTATGCGGGGCTACTGGGATCATGAGAACCAAGAATGGGCTTTCCTGCCGACATCTGTGCGACTCGTCCATTATGAAACGATATGGGTGTGGGTATGCCACAAAGCACTGTGCGAGCAGAGGAGGTTATAGTGTATATGTATATACATGTGTGGTCACAGAAGCATCATGCAATAAAAGAAGAAGAAACAGCCTGATAACAAGGAGAAAAGATGGATTTATTCTCCATGCAAGGGAATATTAGGACTCTAATTGTAGGTAACATACTGTAGGCTTGATATAAAGATGGACAACATGTCTCCATTTCCTCCCAATATCCTGAACTGAAGCCAAAATATGTGAACGCTGTCCTTTTGCACTGATGACTTCATTTGGAGCCAGAGTCGGTCTAAACTGTCAATCTGAGACAGATTTTATGATATCAAATAAATAACACCAAACTTACCATTCGTGTGATAAGAAATACCTAAAATGACAGGTATTTGTATTTCCTGCAACTTTGAGAAAACATTTTTGACATGTTTTTTAACTTTCTGGTCCATGCCCTATTCACTAACAGGGAGGAGGCAGCCCCCATTGTCAAGTCTTCCTTCTTTATACAGTCTCTTGTAGGTATTGATATATAATTGCTTAGCAATGGTGGATGCATGCGTTGTCAGGCTGCATCAGACTTTCTACTTTACTTTTCACTTTGTTACACACAGTGACAATGAATTACACTCACACACGTTTAGAAACTGCACCTAGATGCAGGTAACTTGGAGTTATTTTGCAGTGTGTGGTTACTGAAAACGTAAAGAGAGCAGTGATTGTGGGCACAAACTAATCTTCAGTGTTCAGTGGTGAAAGTCCACTGTGTGAAAACATGCCCACTGCCATTCTTTTAAATCTGAGCAGTCTGGATCTGGGCCTGTATCAGAGGGGAAAATACAAACATAGATATCAGAGTTCGTGTCCTTGTGGTATCATCAATGATGCTGCAGCCCCTGCAGTTGCATTATAAGGAGGTACACATGAGTTGTGGTGTGGCCTACGGTTATATCCTACACATATGACTGCAGCATAAGAATAAAAAATACTGCTGGTAAGTTGTTTCTGAAACCCTTTTTATTGTATTCATTGAAATCCTGTATACGATAAAAAAAGCGATTGTTTGTGGCCCTTGCAGGAGTTAGTGAGTAAATAATGGAAAAGTTGTGTTCTGGCATAGCTTTTATGAGAGTGCCGATAGGGGGGGCGGATGTGTCAGATGCATGTTGTGTGTTGTTGGTCTTGTTTTCTTTTCCAGGATTACCAACCCTAGCATTAAAGCAGGAGTTCAATTCCAGCTTTACTGCTGATGACTCATCTCTTATGTGTGTTTTTTCCTCTGACAAGATAATAGGAAAAACAGCACAGATGCATTATATGTATTTTTTATTTTGCCATGGTCATTTTCAAAGCTCCTTTAACAAAGACATGGACGCACAGGCCAGTAAACATACTCACACTGCTGACTGTCGTCATATTGTTGCAAGATGCCGAGCTTGTCTTCAAAGGCCCTGATATTTTGGTGGTTGCATAGTAGAAAATGAACATTATAACTCCCATCATTTGGAACAGCATCGACCAAAACCACCATCTCCTGGTTCTCGTCCATGGAGCCTTTTCACTGCCGAGAAAAAAGTGAGAATGGACGTCTTTAATGCACTTTAGTGTAGTGCAAGGGGAAATAAAAAAATGGCGGCTCACATTTTGTTTTTATAGTTGATATCAACAGTGTTCAGCTAATGTAAAAAACTTTGGTTCCTTGATTTTGCCGCTTCCTGTTGACCAGGGATATGCTGGAAACAGAAACTCCAGCTCAGTACAAATTAAGCAGCTTCTGCTCTGAGCATGAAGCAGCTGATCATTGAGAAGCTGTGGAGAAACACTAGTAGTTTTGCTGTTTCCACTTCTCCTCAACAATGTCACTTTCTGTCTTAGCATGAAAGTCTATGAGAGTGATTTTCAACCAGGCTGAAATTGCCTGTACTGTATTGAACAGGGCTTGATGCTGCAGCTGATTGGACTATGATATTCAGAGGCAGCAGGCCGGACAAACTGTCTTGAGAATTTGTATAATTTAATACATTTTAATATTTCTTCCCTTTTTTTCTTTGGGATGGCGGCGCCCTACACACACACACACACACACACACACACACACACACACACAATTAATTAAGAGACAAAGTAGAACCCTTTCGAACCATGTGTCTGTGATAACCTATTTTTTTAAATATTGAACTTAAAAGTATTAAAGCGTGTATTTGTATGGTGGCCCTGAAGTGCAAATCACGACAAATAGAAACACTTTCTTTGTTGTGTTTTCCCATTTGTTGTTGTGATTTGCACTGAATGCACATGCTTCAGGCACCTGAGACAATATGAACTTACAATGCTTAAACTGCATATTTATTAAAGCCTACCTTACGTACTTGTTCACATTATCAGACAATCATAAAATATATATTAAAAAAGTCGATTATATAGTAGAAAAAAATCTGACTTCTTCATATCAACAGACACATTTTCTGTCACTATGTAATTAATATATAAGACAAATAATAAAGGAAATCAAAAGAAAAAAACTAGTTAGTGAAAAGAAATGAAACAACATGAAATAACTAAATGCTAACTATTAATTATTTGACCACAATTTCCATCACATCTGTTTTGGGGTAAAGAATGGTTGAACAGTGCTGAGGTTTGGTGAGAGCTTTATCTTCAGGTTTGTGAACCTATATCCTCCTACGGCTCAAGTTTTGACTACAGTGTGTAGAGCCATACATTAAGTTGTCTGATTGAAAATGAATGCAACTAGTTTTCAGAGGAAATTTAAAAGTAAATATTACAAAGATGTCGTCATTAATGTTTCATAGAGAATCGTTCTTCCTGGTTTTTACAGCAGAGAAAAGCAAATAACACGACATTGCTTGCCTTGGTGATATAAACACCTTCACACGTAAGAACCACTCTGAGCCTTCACTGTATGACACTTTCAAGTCAATGCATTTCAAATAAACTGAAATGAAATCTACACCTCTTCGTCTCACCTTTTGCGAACAGAGTTCTGCAGCATGGTTCAGCAGCTGCAGACGGCGACTCTCAGACAAACAGCAGAACAATGAGGATGTGACTTATGACAAAACTGACTGCACTGTGGTCTGTGGTGGGGGGTGCGAGACATGTATTCTGGACATTAACCATAAATGCAGGTGCAAGATATGCTGCACAGTTACACTGAGAGAGTCTGCTGATTGTGTAATTTGGAGCTTAATGTGCAACACTGTGTGTTTTGACAGGCATTATTTAAACCAAAGCAAAAACATGCAGTTGGGCATTTTTTTTTACTTACTTACTGTATTTTTGAATACTGTAGCTTTGAAAGATTGTACTTTTTTCTCATTGCTGCGTCATCCTCTGCACCAGAGAGAAATATGAAATGTTCTTATGATGTAATTGTTCATCTGTGGCACCAAAGTGATGTGTATGTTCTGAGAAGTGTCACAGCGTTGCTCAAAGGCAAGATGTTATCAGCATGGAAACAAACAAAGTTAACATGTATGTCATCTCCATGTATCAGGGGTGTTTATGTGAACGCGTCATCCCCTCTTACAGTGATTAGTTTCCTCTCTAACATGTCTTGGTTAGCATGATTACTGAACAAAGTCGTTTAAACTATTTATTGAGGGAGTGATACTTCTGTGACATCTGTAGTTTTCCATGTATAGTTTCATGTTGGGAAAAGCCACAAGGGATGTGACATGAAATATTACGTGATTTTGAACAGGTATCTGAAACCACATGCTTTTTTCTAACCTATACCAAGTACTGAGAACTACAATGTTCAGGCTCTGTCTCCTAAAGGGTAAAAATGTTTTTCGTTAAATATAACACAAGCAGAAATTACATTTCCTGGGAAAAGGTATGAATATTAAATGTTTTTTCTTTAGCTTTCTCACTCAGTGGTATTTCTTCATGCACCTGAAGTAGGGCAGCTGTAACAGACAGTTCCTGATATACTTATACTGTCAATAAAGAGTCATAATCATGAGACATAAACATAGTCATAAGATCTGTCACCTGTGATGTGCTGCAACAATGAGTGAAACAAATTTTCCGTGCAAAGCTTTGTCTCCTCCTTTAGGACACTCAATGAGATTCTGATTCACACATTAAAGATTGTCATGTTGAGGTATATGAATATGGACTGCTAGCTTGTCAACCACAAACTAAAGGGTGGCATGCTGGTGCAGTGGTCGGCACTGTCGCCTTACAGCTTTAAGATTCCGGGTTTGATCTCAACCTGGTACTTCCTATGTGAAGTTCACACAGTATGTTCTGCCTGTTTCAGCTTGAGTGTTGTCAGCGTTCTCTGGCTTCCTCCACATGACCCACTCTCAGCCTTGGCTCTGCCTTCCTGCAATAAGCAGTCACAGACAACTTTGTTCTTCTAAAAGAGTGTGTGTATAAAACTTGGACCGGGCTATCAGCACACTATATGTGCAAAATAATCTGCAAATATGAATTGAAACTTGTACTTTTGTAGACAAATCTGCAAATGAATGTGTAGATCTGTAAAGATGGAGATCAATGTTTAGATGGGTACATAACAAATTGAGTTACAGTTACGCAACTACAACATATATGATAACAAATAATATGATGAAACCTGCAGGAACTGTTAAACAGTGAGTTGTGTATCCTTAATGTTCAAATTTTAAATGTCTTGTTGTAAGTTTCAGTGGCCACATTATGATGTAGAAACAAAGGGCTCAGTTTAACAGAAACATTAAGGTTCTTAGTTCAAGGGGATTTTATAATAATGAAAGCATAATTACCAATATTAAATTTTATATCTGTCAAGATACCCCCCTAAATCCTACACAGTGGACCTAATTACTTTCTGTTTACTGCAGCTTAACACAGCTCAAATCCTATTTAGCTCACTGTACCTGAGTTCAGTTCAGTTCTGATTCGCCCAGCAGAGTGTGAAACTGCTTTTATTGTGTAAGAGCCGCAGTTTGTTTCTCCTAAGCAGAACAGAAGGTTTAATGAAGCCATCAGTGCGACCAGCAGAGCTACAAACAGGTCCAAATGACTGTAGGAAAGAGGAAGTGAGCAATTAGTGAGCACTTAATGTTAAAGAGAAGGGGTGAGGGGGAGGAGCTGGGTGCATGAGGAGGATACGAAAACAGTTGACCTGAAGAATATAAGAAGAAGAGAAGAGTAGAGTGAAAGAGAAGAAAGAAGGCAGAAGAGCTGATGGTGTCAGATGACAAGGCATTCAAAATGTATAAAACAACTCATATACTTTTTATTTGCTCTCAGTTAAATTATTTCAACCAATATATCCAATGAATACTCAAAGAAATCAGCAGAAATCAAAAGACAACCACTATACTGTATATTGCCATCGAATATAACAACTCAAAATAATTAATTATTGTATCAAACAATCTCAAATATCCAGAATTCATTGGTTCTAATAAGACAGTGACAGTACCTTTTTGTAAATTCCAAACATTATTCAGTTTGCTTAAATATTATGGTAATAAACTTGTATTTTTTAAAGCTCACAAAGAAGAATGTGTTTTGCTTCAGCTCCAAATCTGGCTTGTTATGCGGCCCCTTTGGCTAACCAGTTGTCATCTTGATTCCATTCATCCATCCATCCAACAATGCATCCATCCATCCATCCACAAAAAGATGAAAAGAATTGAAGCAAAAGAGGCTCTGGGTCACACGCACACACTTAACGTGAGTGTTAACAAAATGTAGGGAACAAATCACTGTCATGTATGAGTCTATGCTTAAGTTATGGAAGCTGTACAGAGATTATTATAACAAACAAATATTTAAAACAGAGTCTGGTAAAAGTTCTCACCAACCTTCTTAAAGGACAAAACTTTTAAATGAGACAAAACAAAATAAATATTAAAAGTGTTTTTGGAGGAACACCTCCTTTTTTCCCTTTATCAGTTATTATCATCACTTCATGGCCAGACAGAAAACAAACACCGTATCAACATAAGACACTTATTCTCGTCCATATTAAAAGAGACTTTGACACGACTGTGTCATTAACTCTTGTATCTATGTTTATTTGATTATTTTTTATCTAAATGGGTGGTCATGCAAATAGAAAAAGCCAAGTCCTTAATGCTTTTAGCTCGGTGGTCAAAGTTGGTAGTTCATCTCTTGGACAGTTCGCCTCTTGACGAAATGACTAGTTGTTACAAGGTGGTTACAAGGTGATGAGCTGGTGGTGTTCTTCCTCCTTGTTCAAGAGGTACGCAGCCTTAATCAGCTTGGTTATGCAACTAGCTAGCTTCCAATTTAGTTCACTGTGCTTTCTCAGTTAACCCCAGCTAAATCCAGCTAACTCTGTAAAATAGGTATTAGCCATTGCTTTATGCATCACTTTGCTGGAATGTCCTCCTGTCAACCATTTCAGGTTCTCAGAGCCAAAACAAGTGGGTAGCTAGCTCACCAGCCAGTAAGGAGTTGTTTCAAGAGGTTGACTTGTTGTTTTAAGGTGGACTGGTATTCCAAAATCATTGCTTGAAATAGGCCTTGTTTCCTGAAAAGCCACCTAGTCAAAGGGTAGATCGATATTCGGAGACCTCAGACAGCAGAAGATTGACTGGCATTCACGCTACGTTTTGCTTTTCGGTTGACTGTAGTTTAGCAGCTGACAAACCAGCTTGTTTTTCACAGCTGGTGTGCGAACAGACTGCGATCACGAGATATTTGGGCTCCGAGGTCCAACGTGGTAGCTTGTTTGACAAACCCAGTTCTATTGACTGTGTCCTGGACCTTTTCATTGATTCTTCCAGTTCATCATAAATACATGTCCATATCTGTCTATAAACTGCAGTCAAATCCATTGGACCAGTCGTGTAGTAAATATTATTCATTCATTTTCATCAACTGGTCGTGGAAACACATTTTACAAACCAGTGTGTATCAGTCTGTAACCAGTTGGTATAGGTAACGTTTTTATAGGTTTTACAATCTGAATCCATCTGTTTGTGAGAAATCTGCAGCCATTACACCCAACCACTGTGAATCTTAGCCTTTTGCAGTCTTTAAGAAGTTCTTTGTTCACAGCGTGGGGTGAAATAGCCCAAACCAGTCTCACCTGACACCAAGCCTGTACACAGTTCAAAAAAACCCTATAAAAACCAGTAGAACAACCAGTCTGACAAAGTCCAAAAGCCAGTGAAAAAGCAGTCTGTAAACCAGTCTGTATCCAGTACCAGGTGAGCACATCTACCAGATGTCAGAGCTTAGTTCTCTGCTGGTGAGGGGTACAAAGGTGCTGTTCAGGTGGAGCTCTGGCTTTTTCCCAAGCGTACTGCTCTGAGGTACCTGGGAAACACACAACACAACAGTGATCAACGGGAATCTGTCCTAAACCACAAGTCTTAGACAAAATATACAAATAAAAATAAAAAGAAACGTGCTGCATTCTATATCATATACAGTAATGCATGCACTGTATTGCACCATGCCTATTATATGACAAATAAACAGCTATATGGCAACTATTTCCCAGTCTGTTAGAATAAATAAACATTTGAGGTTGGATATTATGAAGATACTATTTTCTTTCTACATTTTCTTTTATCCAAACAGACCTCTTGTTCCCCAGTGAGCTGCTCTGAACCCCTGGGGAGAAAAGAGGGGTTTCATTTTCAATGTGTTCCAACTCATGTGTACATGCACACAAACAACAAAAAAGGCTTAACTGTGCAGATGTTGGATGCAAAAAACTAACTAAGAACAACAAAAAATACACAATAAAAGTGTTGCTTTATTTTCTCCAAACCTGTCCATTCAGTAGTGTCATAGGGATGTTGCAATAGACGTGGCGCCCCCCAGGTCCCAGAGTGGAGAACTGCACGGTGGAGGGAGGTGGGAGAGGAGGAGACAGGGAGGATGGCTGCGGGGGAAGCTGGAACTCATAACTGCGGCAGAAATGCCTCATTTGGGCTGATGTAGCCGTGTGACCCCCTCCCAGTGGCAAGGTCATCTGGTTGTAGTCCGGGATCTCTGTCGCCAAGGCAACCTGAGGTTAAAAATAATATATATATATATATATATAAATATTGGCTACAATGTTATTTCAAGAGGCAGTTCATCTTTATTTTAGTTTTTATTGCAGTCATTGTGAAGGTTTTCAGACTTAACAGTTGAACTCTTTCATTCTTAAAAAGGGTCTGAAGTGAGAGGAAACTCATCTGTGGTTCCAGGCTTACAAATTGAAATAAAGGCCATGCAGCAGGTTTAGCTGCAGTATGAGCCGGGGTCTGATGGGGCGTGGATGTAGTCCCATCAGTGCATTGCACGTACATACTTACACAAACACTTACTTATGGACATAGGCACTTTACTGTTCCAATTTATGTAACATGTTGGACCAAAGCACTTTTAAGCACTATTGTTTGCACTGAGTTTTTAATGACTTGCCACTCGCCTGCAGAAAATCCATTATTAAGGCATAAATAATCAAGCAAATGTAGGTTATGTTGGCAGATAAGGGGGGTTTCCTGTCACATTTTGTTGTGTGCATCACCCATATGCTTAACTGGCATATATTTTTAAAAGTGAAACTAATTATTTATTAACAATGTATTTAATCCCCCCTTTGGAGAAGACAGCTTTATATTTTTCAGACCAAGGTCGGTTTTACCTCTACACATACATCCAATCACAATACATGTTGTTGGTGCCACATTTTGAAGCAGATGTTCCAGAAGAGGAACAACCTCCTCCTATCCAGTCTGATATAAAGTTTAGATGCAGATCTATTTAATATATTTGTCTTTAGACATTGCTCACAGTTATGTTTGGCTATAAATGGATCTGATGATGATGCTGAGTTAATTTAAATATTCAAATACTGGAGAAAAAAACTGGGATTTTAGTGCCAGCAACAACAGAATGGTCATGTTCTCCAATTTCATATGTCATACAGTATTTACATTTTAGGTATTAGAATTCTCATAAAATTGCATCAAATATTTTTGAAACAGTATTGTTAAAATCCAGGATCTGTCTGTGATGCAGTGTTCATGCTGTGTTACAGTGTGACATCACTAGCTGAAATCACTGGTTCAGAAACATTCAGCCTCTAAACCTTTACAGTAGTTTGAGGAGAAACAGCCGACCTGATGATGTCCATGGCGACTTTCATTAGGGGGCACCAGGGAGGCAGAGGTGGTTGTCATGGCAATCGTGGAGACAGTGGTCTGTAGGTCACCGAAGAGGCCCTGTTCACCAGCGTCCATCACCTATTAGGAAGCACAATCAAATTGTGTTGGTTGACATGAACCTTAATTAAAAAGAATACAGACACACATAAAGACTCGTACTTCTAATCTAAGTTGTAAGTATTGTTATTTTGCTGATGTTGTTACACTCGGCATCTTTTGCACTTCTGTCCGTCCGAGGAGAGGGATCCCTCACATGTGGCTCTCTCTGAGGTTTCTAAGTTTTTCAACCACTGTTAAAGGGTTTTTTGGTAGTTTTTCTTGTTGAGGGTTAAAGACAGATGATGTCCCACCATGTTAAGCCATATGAGACAAATTGTGATTTGTGAATTTGGACTTTACGAATAAAATTTGATTGATGAGTGACACAGTATTCTACAGCTGTTGAAACATTTTGCACATGTCTACTGGCACACCTCATGTCAATGATGATAAAACCTCAGGTGCTGATTAAAGCAAGTGTTTTAGAACAATCAATAAAAGGTAAAAACCATACTCATAGTTTGTGCTCTTGTCTCTGCACCATTCTGCTTAACCGTACTTGGTTGAGTTTATGTATTTGGTTTCATGTCATCAGTGACATGGTCCATTATCCCAACAAGCTAAGACAGGTAAACAAAAGTCAAAGGGATTCAGGTGTTGAGGGGTCAAGACACACTGATACACAATCATAACACAATGCAACACAATGATAGCCATTCATTGAATGTTGCTGAGCATGATGGATCACCTGAACTCTTCACTGCTCTTGTGCAATTTTTTAAGGAGTTAGGAAGTGTGTTCCTTGGCCCATAAGTCAAAGAGGCATTTCACTGTGGTATATCAGGCTTTCCATGCATGAATAAGTACAGACTATCAGATGTCACTGTCTATCCACTTAAACTCACACAGACCAGGATTTCAGGGTTGTTTGATGTGGGTGTTTTTCGATATTGTTTTTTGATATAAGTTTTTTCTTTTTTTTCCTCAAACAAACTAAATAATAGAGTTATTTCAACAAATAAGATGAACATTTATTGGAAAAAAATGACCAACCTCTCCTTTAACTGTACTGCCCTAAACATAAATAACAAAAACATGCTGCGATTGTAAAACAGAAAGAAAAAAGTACTGGTCCAGTGTTTGAATACCCAAAATACTTTTGCACTTTTATCATGCAATCTCGTTATCATTGTCCCAGTTCTCCAACATCTAGTGTTACAGCACTACAGGACTTTAAGGTTTCATCCTCTCTGCTGCAGCTTTACGGCTCACTCTGTGGTTGCGTCTTCATCTCCAGTACTGAGCAGCAGGTGAACATCTCTGTGCTAATCAGGCCATATACCACCTAAGGCAGTAACACATGGTCAAAATGTTTTTTCCCGTTATGATTCCAATTTTAATATATTAGCGCATTGGACATTTCAAAGGCCATCTGTTTGTGGTGAATGTGCCACCCAAGGGAACCTAAGTGAATGTGCTTAATCCACAGTGTTTTTCTCGATCTCCTGGCCATGCCATATGTGTAATGTATAAATTATAAATATGGTCCGTGAGTAGCAGGTAAAGGGTTTCACTACAATGTGAACATTCATGTGTTTTCAATGCTATTTTATTCTGACAGTCCCAGTTGGCTTTGGAGAACAATAAAAATGCCCCTTGTCCATTTCTGCTGTAGTGTTTCTTTTGGTTACTTATGTGAACATTATCCAAGGTCATGGCAGGAGCTGGGGCCAATCCCAGCTGACATTGGGCGGGAGGTGTGGTACACCCTGGACAGGTTGTCAGGGTAACACAAGGCCAACATACAGAAACAAACAACCATTCACACTCACATTCACACCTTCGGTCAATTAAGAGTCTCCAATTAATCGAAGGCCATTCTGCATATTTAGAAAACCCACACAGACACAGGGAGAACATCCAAACTCCATTCAAACTGGGAATTTTCTTGCTGTGAGGCACACCGCACCACTGCTCTGCCCCCACTGTGTACATGATACATGAAAATATAAAGCAAGAAATCTGGATTGACTTTTGTAAATACCTGGCGTCTGGACAAAGTCTCTCTGCGTTTAGCAGGCATTTCGTAGACCACCTGTTTCCAAAACTTAGAGGAGAGCTCATTGCTTTTAGGACCCCTCCACTTGATGATGGATAAAACCTGAAGAATAGAGAAGAAGAAGAGAGGTGAGGAGATTTTATCGCTGGTGTTTGATGACACGCTGCGTATTCACCCTCGTCTTCCCTCTCTCTGTACCTTGATCGTATGTTTAAGTGCTTCAACCTCTTGGTAGTTGATGACATTCTTCAGGTCGGCACACTCTATCATGATCACCTGCGCACACACACACAAGCACAGATGAGGAGGTGTTTTAAAAGAGAGAGAATATGATTATCTCTGAGCGGAGAAACTCCTCATGCCGTACATCAAAGCTTCCTTGAATAGGCGTTTGATCAAATCAGAAAAGCTGACTACACACATCTGCCTGTCTTTGAGATTGATTTCCTGTTTACTTGATATTCTTATTGTTATCCACACCTTGATCTCCCCGGTAACCAGCATAGAGTGGAGGCGTGTCTCTATCTGGAAGATGCTCCACCCTCTTTTGGCGACAAACTCTGGAGTCAAAACGATGATGAGGCGTCTGCTCTGCTCCACGCTGCGAGCTAAGTCCTCAATGTAGGCTGGGAGAGAGATATGGAGACAAGGAGGAAGGACTGGAGTGAAAAGAGAAAAGAATTGTCATGTAGAATGAAGTAAAGAACAAGCATTAAGTAAGTCAGTTGTGAGTGGCCACTGAGTCTTGCACTAGCACACTCTCACGCAGGCAGTGGACTGGCCCATAAGGATAAATCCTGGTTAACTTACAAAGAAACAACGTACAACTGCTGTGTGTGCACACTGTCCTTCACTGAATATCCCTGTTCTTACAAATTTACTAAATGGACATAGTACACATGTACAATGAACAGAACAGAAACATAACTCTAAAGGTGCAGTGTGTAAGATTTAGGTGAAAGGGATCTATTGGCAGAAACTGAGTATACAATAATCCCAGTGATGTTTTCACTGGTGTGTTTCATCTAATTTATATTTAAATATGAAGCAGGTCCTCTCTACGGAGGCTGCCATGTTTTTTATAGTAGTCCAAAGTGGATCCATGAATTAAATCAAGGAAAATGTTGAAAAATGCCCTATTTCAAAATAAAGTCCAAAGTTTAATGGGTTCTTTCCTGATCCATACTCCACCAAATGTCTTTGTAATCTGACTTGTGGTTATGCTAACAGATAGACAAACAAACAACCACTGACAAAAACATAACTACCTTTGGTGGAGCTAATAAAAAAACTCAACTCCCTCCCTCATGAGCCTTAATGAAGATTTTTTTACATATAGTCACTCAATGAGTTCTTAGAAAAACAAGATGTATGTATCTTCATTTACACTAAAATACAGTAAAACATTCACAATTATGTTGGTGGCCTATGGATCGATGCCAGGGAAAGATTCTGTTGATAGATAATCTTTTTCTTCTGTAGCTGCTCAATGTTTCAGTGTAATTTACATGGAAATGTTATATATGTTGTTATGTTACTAAACTGAAACAAATTGTAAAGAGCAGTGATTAAACATAGTGGCAGTAATTTGCTTTATGAGCCACAACGGAAGGCTGGTCCCTAATGAATTCACAGATAATTAACACCAGCTATTGACGAAACATGGTCATGGCATGACATGAGATAAACATTTGAACAATAAAATGACATTAAATGTTGTTAATGTTAAAATCATATTTTATCTACACTGATCTTATGCAGTACTTGTTAGATATAAATAAAAGTAAAAAGTTACAGGTCAAGTCTCTATGGAAAATGAATGTGCCATTAATTTTGATTTATTTTATCATTATAATCTCAGTAAGATCTTGAGAAAAAATGTGCATTAGAGAGATGATGGTAATGGCTTAAACTTTGTGGACTGTGTAGTTGTGGACTTAAACATGGAGGCGGAACCAGATTATTGTAAACCAAGTTTAGCATCGGAGCTAAATTGTCCTAACGACAATGTAAAACTGTTTATATTATTATGTTTCCTGATGAACAATAAACGGGTGCTGTGTATTGTTCAACAATATACAGTGGACTGTATTACATCTTGAAGCGTTAGCAGACAGTTGCTTGGTTTGTTACATCTTGTCAATAAGACAAATTTAGTGTTGTTAATTTATATTCATATATTTGTGGACTAAATATATAACAAATGAATATGAAAGACAGAGATATAAAAAAAAGTGATTTTGAGTAAAAGCTCAAACAGCTTCAAAAAGAAAAGGTAGGAAAAGTGGGATTTAATTTGACATTAGCATACATATAAATCTCAGAATATAGCATCTGCCTGATTCCTGCTGGCTGCATCCTTCAAGTCATTTTGTCCATAAATGACAGGGGAGATTGACAGGAGTGTGTGGAAGTGTGACAGAAATGCTTGTGCGAGATTTTGGGTTCTGACCCAGCACAGTGAAGTCACTCTTTAAATGGGCGACCAAGCAGCGTTGTGCTGATACACCAACTTTAGCTTTCGCTGAAAACTCAAGGAGGGCAGGTGATGAGATGCGAAAAGTGAGCGGATCTGAGGTGCGGCTACTTTATGTGTCGATACAAATATGAATCAATACAGAGCCATAAGAGTTCACTGCACTGCTCGCAGAAACGTTCCTGCTGATCCTCGCTGTGCTGCTGGTGCTTCACTTCAAGCCCGGTGCAAGTTGTCCCATTTCCATTTAATTATTTGTGACATGCTGGATGTTTTCTGCACCATCCATAGCTGAAAATGCTCATTATTTCTTAAATTTGGATTTAGTGAAAATCTCTGTGTGTTCTGTGAACAACCGATTGCCTCCCTCTGCATGTCTCTCTCTGCCTCTCTCCTTCACCATCTCTTCACTTGCTAACTAAATTAATGACAGGGACCCTCAGACAACAAATTGCAATTTCACGCTCAATCTGAGAGGCACAAATAGTCCAGAACATCCCCACATTCAGTCCCTGTCTTATTCTCTTTTCTCTTTCTTTTCTTTTCTTTTCCTCACTGCATCTTCTCCCTCTCTCCCTCCCGTCCCTTCCTCCTCCCGCTCTCTATTTTTTTAAGGACCATGTAAATTAATTAATACAAAGCAACACAAACCAGTGATCCTGTCACCCACCTCTCTCTCTTCCCGTTGTTTTTTTTCTCACCCCCTCTCGTTCATTTCAGCAGGCTAATGGAGTGGATAATTGAATGGTGTATTTTAGGGTCGCATCACCATGTTGCTCTGTCAATGGCTTTGGTGAGCAATGAAGAGGCACCTCGCTGAGTCTGTTCTCCACACTATGTAACCTTTAGTTCACATGCAGACAAAGTGTGTGTGTGTGTTGATATGCACAGTGGACATTTGTATTGACAGATGTTTTTGGGGCACTTGGAGGAAGCCTCAATTTGGGAAGGCATGTGACTTTACCATCTTCTCTCAGCATGCAGTGTGTGTGTGTTTAAAAAAGGCATCATTCTGGCTGAGGGCAGACTACAGAGAGCGAGCTGATTCATTATGAACATTACTTAAGACAATTTATTTATGTATTTTAGAGGGAAATGTTAAATAATGCAGAAAACACATTTGTTTCTTGCTTTCTAGCCACATTATAAAACTACATGTAGTTACAACATTATTCTCCTGACGTTTTTAGGACAAGATGAAAAACATTTTGTCAACAAAATGCTAATACACAGGGGATAATGGCTCAATATTTTATTTTTTGCATCAGTTTTATAGTTAACCTGGGACCTTGCAGACTATTGATATGTTTTCTATGGTTTTCTTTAAAGCAGGTAAATTTACATATCATTACACATTCAGAGAGTAATATGGGATGCATTTTAACCAATATTATGTCAACAACTGGTGGACATACACTGTGAGTAAATTCCAGACGAAACATATTGTTGATACCTTATATGCTAATGAACACGTTCTGAGGGAAACAATCTATGCCACTACTCTTCTTCAGAATATCCAACACTACACTGACTGGAGTCATTAGGAATCGACTGTGTTTGGTAAACAAAGAGCTGAAGTCATGTCATCACATCCACGCCATGGCCTCTGTTCCATTGGGAGGCTTCTGTAACTCAGTTCAGTCTCTCATTCAGGTTGTGACATTTACCTCATGGACGTCTAAGGCTTTTGGGAAATGGAGTTTTTCAAAGGCAATAACACTAGATCACTACTCATACTTGTCCAAACACATGAAACAAACCACGCAACATAATGTTGAGAAACACTCTTAGCTTAGTTACAATAGAGATTTTGAACGAGATCGAGCAGTGATTTTAAGAGGTTCTCTGATAATTGTCTGTGGTGAAATGTCATAGTTGAGATTAAAAAATCATTACTACAACTTTAAAATCTTCCCTGCTGTAGAAAACACTAGGTGTGTGATATAATGTGCATGCGTTTATTTGTGCTGATGGCACAAACACATGCATTCCAATTGAAATGCTTCATTCACTGTCCCTGCAGCTAGTAAGGCCAGAGATGAGCTCAAGAATGATGGATGTGTGTGTGTGAAATACAGTACATCCCCAGTATACTTGCTATTTTACTTTAATTTTAAATCATAAACCGACAGATGGATGCTGACTGTATGTGCCTGCATGTGTTTGGCAATAAGGATTACATGTTTCCCTCTTCAGCATGTGTCAGTTGTACATTGTGTGTGTGTGTGTGTGTGTGTGTGTGTGTGTGTGTGTGTGTGTGTATGTGTGCTATTAGTGACCTGTACATTATATGGGGGCATTGATGATTGTCAAAGCGAAGGCATGAGCTACGTTGTGTAGTGAGAAAATGTGTTTAAGGCACAGCAACACTGTTTTGTTGTATATCAGTGCTTTTGTGGTTCAAGTGCACATGCTACAGCTGAGAACAGACACAAAGGTGTGTCTTTTTGTGAGTGTGTTATAATGAAGACCCACATTCATTCTTATTTTTTCTGACAGAGTGATGAATTCTGGGTATTGGGAGCTACAGTTGCCCATAGAGAGATGAGTGAAACCTGTGTACCTGTGTGTGTGTGTGTGTGTGTGCGCTTGTGGGGGTATGCAGATGGACGTATAGATGGATACTTACTACTGCTGGGTATTAGATCTCTGTCTGGTATAAACAGCTTGTAGCCATAATGTTTCTCCAAAACATCGGGCAGGATCTCCAAAGCAAACGTTTCCTCATCGCTGCTCGTCCTGTCAGAGACAAAGACAATAACTAACATGGCTCCAGATTCACAATCCAATCCAAAAACATCACTGGTGTTAATAGTACTGAATGGGTTCAATATGAACGTGTGGATGCATATGATTGACATTATTAATTAATTCACTGTCTTTATAATCATAACCTTGCTTCACTACAAGTTGTCCCACAAAGCCGACCTTTACTGTGAAGCAGCTAGAAGAAGGTATGAGTTATAGTCGTTAGCTTAGTTTAGTTACGTTAAAGAATATTTTGAGAAATGCTTTTATTCTTCTCCTGAATGAAATGAACCCGAACATTACTTTAGCCATTCCTTTCATGCCCAAATTTTGCTGCCTAAAGCCCGAGGGACCCGAGCAACAAAAGTTGTGATTTTGGAACAGTTTGTCTTGCAGGAGGATCTCAGGCAGCGATCACAGATACAAGTGGGAGCCTAATTCTACAAGGCTTAAAAAACAAGCAGTAAAACTGTTAAATCAATACTACCACTCACAGGTGAAGTGCAGTAAGGATTGGTGTAATGGTCATTTCTTTTAGAACATGTTAAAAGTCAGGCAGCAGCAAGTGTCAGTAATAGGTGCAGTTCAAATATATATATATATTAGATAGATGTCTAAGTTTTGACTCTGATCCAATTCCTACTCCAAGATCTTTCTACATTCAAAGAACCTACATTTCTATTACTCATAGTGAGATTGGAGCTTCACTGATGGTACAGATATTTGATCAAAGCCAGGCTTTACCTGTTTACCCCTGCTTCCAATTCACATTAAGCTAAGGTCCCCTATGACATGGCTGCAGCTCTGCACACGATGCACAGACAAGAGAGTGTGGTATCACTCTTCTCATTTCCCTCTGAGAGAGAAAGTCCTTGGGGTAAAATCACAGTAAAATCTATACTAACGCATTAATATGGAAATCAGCTGGTTAGGTAAAGGGCTGCACGTGATCAAGTCCTTCTTTTGCGCTGCAGTCACTGACAGGTGGAGAGCCAGAATGAAAAAACACCAACAACTTAGCTTTCACGTGTGCAGTGAGATAACTCACCTGCCCAGAGAGTCCAGGTCCACTTTAGTGTAGGACAGATAAGCATCGTACTCCTTGTTATCTGTGAAGAGAGGCAGCAGGAGAATGACACATTATTCTTTCTCTGAAAATCACTTTAACTCATGTGAAGCGCCTGCATCACATCACTCATCATCTCAGACATATCTTTGGAGAGTTTGAGCGTCTTTAAAGCCCACTTATATCTTTGACCTCCCTAACAGCTGAGAACAACATGAAATCGCTGGGCTCGATACACAGAGCACATTTTATCTTTGTCACAACTACACATTTAAAAATACACTTTTTTCCTCACGTTATTTGTTGGACACGTAATATTGCTGTAGGCTGTTTCTTGACTTCCTGTACTTGGACACTTTCTGATCATTTCAACATTTGGTCTGAAGAACTAAAGAAAATCTGAAATTCATGGCTGCAGCACATGTAGCTTGAAAACACCCTACAAAGAAAATCAGACTGACTTAGAACTTAAAGTGAAAATCAATACTTGAATCAATATAACCTCATGTCTGTGTAATTGACTCTCTGCTATTGTTTTATATAGCTATGATCCATCTGCTCTTATTGATTTGTTAATTTTACTTTTCAAAGGGGGCTTTACAAATAAAGCTCATCATTATTTTGTCGATGAATACAAGAATAATCACTCAATCAACTGAAAAACTAAAATGCTGAATCACTCTGGTGCTTTTCTTTCATCAGTAGCTTCAGGATTAAGGATAATCGTTGTTGTGTTTATCATCTTGATTCTATAATAACTTCACAATGACTCTCTGCTGAGTCAAAGTCACACACACTCATCAAGTGCTGCAGTGAGACAAGTCTTACCATCCTCAGTTTCATCACTGCCAAAGTGTCTCCTGTAGCAGAGCATGATCTCCAGGTTGTAACATTTATAAAGTGCAGTCAGGACCCCGAGCAGCAGCAGTATGACCCCGAGACCACCAGCCAACTCCAGACGATACATATCTACAGACCAGTCAGAGAGAAACAGCAAGGGGAGGAGAAGAAGAGATTTTCAAAACGAAATATAAAATGTTCTAGATCAGTTACTCACAATAAAACTCTCTCCCTCTCTCTCTCTCTCTCTCTCTCTCTCTCTCTCTCTCACACACACACACACACACACACACACCAGCTGGATGTCAAGAGGTGACTATTTAACAGCTTAATTATTATTCTGTGATTGCTTCTTGTGCTCATGCAACCGTTCTCTGTGGACTTGTGTTAGTTGAAGTTAAAGGTTAAAGTTAAAGGTGCACTATGCAGGATTTTCCCAATAAACAGTGACTGGGTAGGCTTTAACCTCTCAATCACTAGAGGTGTGTGGGTGTGTTTCATGTGCACAGACCCTCTGACTGTACTTGAAAATGTTTCATATTTTGCTGTGTCTGGGACTCTTCTGGACTGCATCCCGTGGGCAGTGGGCGTGTAGCCGCCGGCCAGTAACAGGGCACAGGCTGTGATGAAAACATAGCAACCAGGTTGCATGCTTGTCTCCATCTTTTCTCTACTCTCTGTCTGGATTATATATATATATATTTATATAACAAAAGCTGCAGGTCTGTTTTACCATGCGTCGCTCTGCACCTCTGTGCACGTGGCAAATATAAGCGTGTCTTAAATTCCCATTCAGCTATGTTTCTGCTCAAGCAAGAAGGTTCGCAAACTTAAAGGGAAAGTTCACCAAAAAATGTAATTCATTCACTATCCACACAATATGCTGATGGAGGGACGGGTGAAGTGTTTGAGTTCACAAAACACTTTTGGAGTCCCAGAGGTAAACAGCGTTGCAGCCACCTCTTATTCAGAAGTAATTATACACCAGAAAAAAACACAACATGCCTCCATACTGTTCATGTGGTGTCATCCAAGTGTCCACAAGCCCCGACATTCATATTCGACACGAAACAAAATCATTTACACCGTGTTTAAGCCTTAAAGTCCACTTCCGTAGTAGCAAAGCTAGCGGACGTAGTGATGCAAATGTGCACCTTGTAGTGATGCCATTGGGCAAGAGTGTTTGTGGTTGGTGTTTGAGGATGTAAATAATGACGACATGCACTTGTGGACAGATGTGTACGGATGTGTACAGAAGGCTCTGTCCGTTTCCATAAACTAATCTAATGAACTTCAAGTGTATTACAGGAAATAACTAAGCTAAGGCTTAGCTAAGGCTTTTGTGCATTTTGTATGGGAGAAACTCTGTCACAGCCAATAAAGAGCAGTGCATATAGCAGCTTTCTTTCACTATTCAATGGATGTGAGCGGATGTACAAGGACAGTCCACAGCCATGGTTTCAAACTAGGCCACTGACCTACAGGTAGTTAAGATATGCTGCAGTGAAGAGGAGTCTGCACAAGAGTAAACCTTGATGTAAACCACACTTTGAAAATGTTTGATGAGGAAAGAAATATATGTTCACTTGAGCTCAATGCCACACGAATGTACGTGGACACACACACACAATCTCACACTATGAGGGACTGATTGTGCTATCATAGGCAATATGAGTGTATGGGAGATTAATGGAACATGACTAGTGAATGACACCATGGGAAATATGATCTATCACTATCTCCCCCTGTCACACATGCACGCATGCATGCACACACGCGCTCTGCAGCCTACATGATGCACTAAAGCGTCAGGGTACGAACACACAAAGACCATTTCTGCTTGTTGTGTGTGTGCGAGCACATGTCTATACACTTGTATAGTTATGGTGGACAATTTAGGGTAAGAATTAGGTTTGGGTTAGGCATTTAGTTGTGATGGTAAGGGTTAAGGTGAGGAGCTAGGGGATTCATTATGTCAGTGAGTGTCCTCACAACTATAGAGAGACGTGCATGTGTGTGTTCATTAACATTAACTCAACCAGCTTCCGTTTGAAGCCATGTCCAGACCAGTTTTAATTTTCTGACAGCTGCATTTACAGAGGTCAGCAGCTGTTCTTTACTTTAATCGATGAAGCTGCATATTTAATTAAGGTTGCTGAGTCTAGAGAGGCTGGTTGAGGGAGGAAAGTTCAGGACTGTCACACCAGAGATTGTGGTTCATGTCCAGAAGCCCACATGTGGTTTAGGCAGCGAAAGCTCTTGAGTTAAACGTACATAAACATGTTGTGTCTCAAGTCACTCTCACATTTTTCTGTATTAAACAAAATCATTTTCTTTGCCAAACCTTAACCAACCATACAGGACCTTTACTTGTAATGGACTATTTTAACATTTTTGTGCTGAAAGTTTAACTTAAGTTCAGGATGTGTGTGCTCTAATCACAAGGCTGCTGGTTTGAATCCCAGTGGCTACTGTCCACATGTTCCTAAATCCTGGAGATCATACGAGGACATTGAATGGCAGTTCCATCACTATCGCTGTGTGAACAAGAATTGAATTCTGAACTGCAATGTTTGTTAAGGAATCCAAATTCTACATAAATGCAGTTAGAAACTTGTTTTAAGTCCCTATGAGGAAGACAAGTCCCCACAACATGAGTTATACCTGGACAACACACTATATACTATACAATATGCAAAGTGCTGAGGGACATGAAAATGTTTTAATAGTATACATAATGTTGTCAAATTGCTTTTAACACAACATTATTATAATTTTAGTACATGATTTGGCCTTTTATCCTAACAATTGATTTCCCACTGTGTTCCCCCTGACCCTGAGGTCAGACAGAAGCAGTGTGTCATCATGACTGAGAAGCAGCAGACAGCAGCTCTGTGTGTGCACCTGAGAGCACGGCCTCACCTCACCGCCTGGACTGAACCGTCAGATGCAATTTTACAAGCCGAGAAAACTAGCTCCCATTAACATCTGATATCTAACAAATAATATGTTCGTCACTTCACTTCTGTAAAGATTCAAGTGAAGAGCGTCAGAGCTACACATGCACACGGTCAGAAAACTTGCTGTTAGGAAGTTGGTTACGTACAAAAAATAGAGAAGTTGTAAAATGAATGTCTCAAGATTTTCATGAAGCAGAATGTTAAACATCTAAATGGAATCAGATGTACAAAGTGAGTTTGATGCGTGCACTTGAATCAGTGGCTTTCTTTCCTCTCTTGTCAGTTTTGTGCGACAGTGTGTGGCAGTAACATTCAGCCTGGTCCCACAGTGTGACCACTGTCGCTCATGTGTAACTTTTGATATTTCACAGAAGTGATACTCTGTTATTTAACTGAGGGTGTCAGTCAGAGATGATGTGGCCGTGAAGGATTTCAGTCATAGTGTTGTATAACTTAATATGATGTTACAATGCAACAAAGTATTTTATAAATTGGTCATATTTT